AGATAATTGAAAATGAAAAAAAAAAGAAACAGTAAAGATGTCAGTGTGCACACTTTTTAATCACTTTGTGGAATAAAATTTGATCTTTTGGTTTAATTTTTGCTGTATATATGTTTTTAACCACTTACAGAAAAATGGTGGAAGCAGATCGTCCAGGGAAGCTATTTGTAGGAGGCCTCAATGTAACCATCAATGAAAAGATTCTTGAAGCGATGTTTGGGAAATATGGCCCTATAGCAGAAGGTAACTATTTTTGAAAGATTTATTTATGTACTTGAAAGTCAGAGTTACACAGAGAAAGAGAGGCAGAGAGACAGACAGACAGACAGGGAGAGAGGTCTTCTATCTGCTGGCTCACTCTCCATATGGCTGCTATGGTCAGAGCTATGCAGATTTCAAGCCAGGAGCCAAGAGATTCTTCCAGGTCTCCCATACGAGTTTAGGGGCCCAAGCACTTGGGCCATTTTCTACTGCTTTTCCCAGGCCATACCAAAGAGCTGGATCAGAAGTGGAGCAGCCAGGACTTGAACCAGTGCTAATAAGGGGATGCAAGCACTGCAGGCGGCAGCTTTACCCGCCACGCCACAGTGCCAGCCAACGTATATACCCATCTGTCCAAAAGTCAGTATGTACTAACTATGTTCCACTGTTCTTAAAACTTACATGACTCTTTTTTCTTAAAATTTTTGTTTTTATGGGGAAAGCTATTAACCATTGCACTAGGTGAAATTTTGCTCTAAAAGATCTGTTTAAAAAAGAGGATACAGGCTGTTGAGAGAAGGCATGAAATGAATTGGAGGGACTACAGAGGAATTGTTGATATTTAGAAGAGAAAATAATGCTGTTAAAAGCATTCACTTTTTTAAATACAACTTTCAGATAATTGAGACCATGTTGTATCTGGTAGATCAGATTAATAAAACTGAGAGAAGCTGAAGATTGACAAATTTGGAAATACGAAAATTTCAAAAAGTATGTAATTATATACATGTAAAAGGCTTACAACTTACATAAATATTGCAGTTCTTTTGATCAAGGATCGAGAAACTAGCAAGTCCAGAGGCTTTGCTTTCATTACTTTTGAAAACCCTGCAGATGCTAAGGATGCTTCCAAAGACATGAATGGAAAGGTGAGAGTCTAATATCTTAGTTTTGTTCTTTAGTGTGTTGGATTTCTAGATTTACAAAAAATATTTTAAGGTAGTATAATGCTGTATGAGCTAAATACTCAGGAGTATGGCTAGTAGGAATCTGAAATATTGTATCACACAACGTATAATCTAATTTAATGTTAACATTTCTAATAAATGGGAGTAGGCCTTTTAGACTTCAAAAAGCCCCTAAACTGAAAATTAAACAAACTCTAATGTTAATAGAAAACTGTTGTCACTTATAAGCTATTACTGTTGCATAAAATCTTAACAGGGAAAATTACTTCCCATCATTGTGGGCAAAAAATACCAACACAATGTTTGAGCGGGACCTTGGCATTCGGATGTAATGTCATTCTTAACATGGATACCAGATTAAATCACTCAAATTCTTCTCCCTGACTTTTCTTTCCTTAAAAGACTTAATCCTGTAACTAGATTACATTTGTAAAATGACTTACCCAAATATTCATTTTTAGTAATGGTTGATCCAGTAGTCTGTATTGTAAATCTTAAATTCTAGGAATTGTGTTGTCTACTATAGCTTGTGACCTAATCAGTTATTTTATTAAATGATGATTTCATTAATATTGCAATCAAGATTACTCTCTTCTGGACCCTTTTTGTCTTAATTATTTTCTCCAACTTGTTTTGTGGTATTCTTTTAAGATTTCCCCAGTATACAATACTATGTCCTAATCCCACTTTTTTACATTTACAAGGATTTTTGTCTCTTGTTTTTGCATCACAGGTAAGAATTTCTCCATGTTGCATGTTTTATTCTTACAATACACAGTTCAGCTCCAGCTATTTCACAATGTATTCTTTTTAACTTCTTTATTTCATAATAAGATAATTGGTAGATTCCAGAAATTGAATTTGGCTTGTGGCATTTTGTTACGTATAGAATTAAATTTGATTTGTGAATGATTGATGATAATGCTTTCCCTCAGTGTTCAAGCATAAGAACAGGCAGACATTGTTCGCTGTGTGTCAGGCAACATTATAATAACTGAGAAATATTTTTCAGTAAGTAAGAGATACTAACAAGAGCTAATAAAAAGAAATATTAAAGTAAAAATAAACTTTATGTATAATTTAAAGTTAATGATAAAATAGATTATTCAGAGTTTGAAGGGAGAGAAGACTTTTTATGTAGAAAATGATAAAATTCAACTGAATTATTTTTTAAAATATTTATTTATTTATTTGAAAGTTAGAGTTACACAGAGAGGGAAGGAGAGAGAGAGAGACAGAGAGACAGAGAGAGAGAGAGAGAGAGAGAGAGACAGAGAGAGAGGTCTTCCATCCACTGGTTCACTCCCCAGTTGGCTGCAATGGCCAGAACTGTGCCGATCCAAAGCCGGGAGCCAGGAGCTTCGTCTGGGACTCCTAAGCTGGTGCAGGGGCCCAAAGACTTCAGCTTTTTTCTACTGCTTTGCCAGGCCATAGTAGAGAGCTGGATTGGAAATAGAGCAGCCGGATCTCAAACTGGTGCCCATATTCAGTTGGCCCCAATGTTAGGAAGGAAGCAGTCATTTACAAATTTAGGGAGAAATTTGGTCATAGATATAGCAAGTGAAGCCAAAGCTTGCCTGTGTAACTGTTAATACTGTATTATGGGGAGGTGGTGCTGTGGTGCAGCGAGTTGATGCCCCGGTCTGAAGCGCCAGCATCCCATATGGGCGCTGGTTTGAGTCCCGGCTGCTCCTCTTCTGATCTAGCCCTCTGCTATGGCCTAGGATAGCAGTGAATATGGCCCAAGTCCTTGGGCGCCACACACATGTGAGTGACCCAGAAGAAGCTCCTGGCTCCTGGCTTCAGATCGGCGTAGCTCCTGCTGTTGCAGCCATCTGGGGAGTGAACTAGGGGGGGTGCAGGACCTCTCTCTCTGTCTCTACCTCTCTCTGTAACTCTGTCTTTCAAATAAATGAAATAAATCTTTTAAAAAATACTTAAAAATACTGTATAATGGCCCATCCATCAGATTTAAAACCAGGATTATATTCCCAAAACATTAAAAATATATTACTAGAAAGTGATAACAATATTAATTATGACATTTAAGCATTTCTGAGTTATAAGAACTATTAAAGTAAGTACTATTAAAGATTTATCTTTTAGGGAAACTTCTTTTTTTAACTTTTATTTAATGAATATAATTTTCCAGAGTACAGCTTACGGATAACAATGGCTTTTTCCCCTCCCATAACTTCCCTCCCACCCTCAACCCTCCCCTCTCCTGCTAACTCTCCCCTTCCATTCACATCAAGATTCATTTTCAATTCTCTTTATATACAGAAGATCGATTTAGCATATATTAAGTAAAACTTTCAACAGTTTGCACCCACACAGAAACACAAAGTGAAAAATACTGTTTGAGTACTAGGTGTAACATTAAATCACAATGTACAGCACATTAAGGACAGAGATCCTACATGAGGAGTAAGTGCACAGTGACTCCTGTTGTTGACTTAACAAATTGACACTCTTGTTTATGGCGTCAGTAATCTCCCTCGGCTCTTGTCATGAGTTGCCAAGGCTATGGAGGCCTTTTGAGTTTGCCAACTCTGATCATATTTACACAAGGTCATAGTCAAAGTGGAAGTTCTCTCCTCCCTTCAGAGAAAGGTACATCCTTCTTTGATGACCTGTTCATTCCACTAGGATCTCACTCGCAGAGATCTTTCATTTAGGTGTTTTTTTGTTTTTTTGTTTTTTTGTTTTTTTTTTTTTTTGCCACAGTGTCTAGGCTTTCCATGCCTAAAATACTCTCATGGGCTCTAGAGCCAGATCTGAATGCCTTAAGGGCTGATTTTGAGGCCAGAGTGCTGTTTAGGACATCTGCCATTCTATGAGTCTGCTGTGTATCCTGCTTCCCATGTTGGATCGTCTTCTCCCTTTTTTATTCTAGCAGTTAGTATTTTCAGACACTAGCCTTGTTTATGTGCTCCCTTTGACTCTTAGTCCTATCATTATGATCAATTGTGAACAGAAATTGATCACTTGGGGGCCGGGGCCGTGGCCCAACAGGCTAATCCTCCGCCTGCGACACCGGCACACCAGGTTCTAGTCCTGGTCGGGGCACCGGATTCTGTCCTGGTTGCCCCTCTTCCAGGCCAGCTCTCTGCTATGGCCCGGGAGTGCAGTGGAGGATGGCCCAAGTGCTTGGTCCCTGCACCCCATGGGAGACCAGGAGAAGCACCTGGCTCCTGCCTTCGGATCAGCACGGTGCGCCGGCTGCAGTGCGCCGGCCCGGCGGCCATTTTAGGGTGAACCAACGGCAAAGGAAGACCTTTCTCTCTGTCTCTCTCTCTCTCACTGTCTAGTCTGCCTGTCAAAAAAAAAAAAAAAAAAACTTGATCACTTGGACTAGTGAGATGGCATTGGTACATGCCGCCTTGATGGTATTGAATTGGAATCCCCTGGCACATTTCTAACTCTACCATTTCGGGCAAGTCCGATTGAGCATGTCCCACATTGTACATCTCCTCCCTCTCTTATTCCCACTCTTATATTTAACAGGGATCACTTTTCAGTTAAGTTCCATCACTTAAGAATAATTGTGTATTAATTACAGAGTAAAACCAATAGTATTAAGTAGCACAAACAAAAAAATACTGAGAGGCATAAAGTATTAAGTTGTTCATCAACAGTCAGGGCAAGGGCTGATCAAGTCACCGTTTCTCATAGTGTCCATTTCACTTCAGCGGGTTTCATTTTTCTTTCTTTCTGTTTTTTTTTTTTAACTTTTATTTAACAAATATAAATTTCCAAAGTACGACTTATGGATTACAATGGCTTCCCCCCCATACCGTCCCTCCCACCCACAACCCTCCCCTTTCCCACTACCTCTCCCCTTCCATTCACATCAAGATTCATTTTCGATTATCTTAATATACAGAAGATCAGCTTAGCATACATTAAGTAAGGATTTCAACAGTTTGCTCCCACACAGAAACATAAAGTGAAAAATAATAGATGATTTTTTTTAAATGATGATGAAATCAGATCAGACCTATTGTCATGTTTAAACCCAGTGAGAGTCAAGTTGGGAATTGATAATTTCTTTTTTCTTTTCTTTTTTTTTTTTACAGAAGATCAGTTTAGTATGCATTAAGTAAAAATTTCAGCAGTTTGCACGCCCATAGAAACACAAAGTGAAATATATTGTTTGAGTACTCGTTATAGCATTAAATCTCAATGCACAGCACATTAAGGACAGAGATCCTACATGAGGAGTAAGTGCACAGTGACTCCTGTTGTTGACTTTACCAATTGACACTCCTGTTTATGGCATCAGTAATCTCCCTATGCACCAGTCATGAGTTTCCAAGGCTATGGAAGCCCTCTGAGTTCTCCGACTCTGATCTTGTTTAGACAAGGTCATAGTCAAAGTGGAGGTTCTCTCCTCCCTTCAGAGAAAGGTACCTCCTTCTTTGATGACCTGTTCTTTCCACTGGGATCTCACTCACAGAGATCTTTTGCCGGAGTGTCTTGGCTTTCCATGCCTGAAATACTCTCATGGGCTTTTCAGCCAGATCCGAATGCCTTTAGGGCTGATTCTGAGGCCAGAGTGCTATTTAGGACATCTGCCATTCTATGAGTCTGCTGAGTATCTCCCTTCCCATGTTGGATCACTCTCCCCTTTATTTATTCTATCGGTTAGTGTTAGCAGGTACTAGACTTGTTTATGTGCTCCCTTTGACTCTTAGTCCTTTCATTATGATCAATTGTGAACTGAAATTGATCACTTGGAATAGTGAGATGGCATTGGCACATGCCACCTTGATGGGATTGAATTGGAATGCCCTGGTATGTTTCTAACTCTACCATTTGGGGCAAGTCAGCTTGAGCATGTCCCAAATTATACATCTCTTCCCTCTCGTATTCCCACTCTTATGTTTAACAGGGATCACATTTCAGTTAATTTTCAACACTTAAGAATAACTGTGTATTAATTACAGAATTAAACCAGT